TACGCTGCTAGTCTTGTCGTTGAGTCTGAGTCTGTCTGTCCTCCGTCCGTCGGGGGTGAGTGTGCCCTTGGCACGGACGTCCTTGAGGACAGGCAGGAGGAGTTCCAGTGTTTGGCTGCTGCTTCACCTCATCTCGTGTCCGTACTGCTTACCCCTGAGGGAGACCCGGATGCACTTGACATCCCGACTCCGCGCTCTTACGCGGAGGCGATAGAGGGTCCCTACTCCTCTCAGTGGCAGGCAGCTATGGACACAGAGATGGCTTCCTGGAAGTCCACAGGCACCTACGTTGACGAGGTTCCCCCGCCTGGGGCGAACATCGTCAGTGGCATGTGGATTTTCAGGGTGAAGCGACCGCCGGGTTCTCCACCTCTCTTCAAGGCACGTTACGTGGCTCGTGGCTTCAGTCAGCGGCAGGGAGTTGACTACTTTCAGACCTTCTCTCCCACCCCGAAGATGACCACTCTTCGGGTACTGCTGCACATAGCTGCTCACCGCGACTACGAGCTGCACTCTCTTGACTTCAGCACTGCTTTCTTGCAGGGCAGCCTGCACGAGGAGATCTGGCTGCGTCGCCCACCTGGCTTCACTGGGTCTTTTCCTCCTGGCACCCAGTGGAGCCTCCGGCGGCCAGTCTACGGTCTCCGCCAGGCACCGCGTGAGTGGCACGACACACTGAGGACTACACTTGCGGCTCTTGGGTTTGCTCCCTCTACTGCCGACCCGTCGCTGTTTCTGCGCACCGACACTTCTTTGCCGCCGTTCTACATCCTCGTGTACGTCGACGACTTGGTCTTTGCCACAGCTGACACTGCTGGACTCGCCCACGTGAAGTCCGAGCTGCAGAAGAGACACACGTGCACAGACCTGGGTGAACTGCGCAGCTACCTTGGCTTGCAGATCACCCGGGACAGAGCACGCCGCACCATTGCCCTGACTCAATCACACATGGTGCAGCAGGTCCTTCAGCGCTTCGGCTTCACGTACTCCTCGCCTCAGGCCACTCCTCTGCCTACTCGCCACTCGCTCTCAGCTCTGCCTTCGGATGAGTCCGTAGAGTCGAGTGGCCCGTACCCAGAGCTTGTTGGCTGCCTCATGTACCTGATGACCTGCACACGACCTGACCTCGCATACCCTCTTAGCATTCTCGCACGCTATGTTGCTCCTGGGAGACACAGACCAGAGCACATGGCTGCAGCGAAGAGGGTGTTGCGTTACTTGTGCAGTACGTCGGGCATGGCGCTTGTGCTTGGAGGGCAGAGTCCAGTGGTCCTCACTGGGCACGCAGACGCTTCTTGGGCTGACGACCAGGCTACGCAGCGGTCGTCACAGGGTTACACCTTCAGCCTTGGTTCCGGCTCTGTTTCGTGGCGGGCTACCCGCTCGTCTTCTGTTCTCGGCTCCAGTTGTGAGGCTGAGATCTACGCCGGGGCCATGGCTGCACAGGAGCTTCGCTGGCTCACCTACCTGCTGACTGACCTCGGAGAGCCGCCTCGTTCTCCTCCAGTGCTGTACGTAGACAACAAGGCCATGCTGGCCTTGTGTCGAGAGCAGAGACTGGAGCACAGAACGAAGCACATTGCTCTCCGCTACTTCCTTGCTCGTGAGCTACAGCAGCGTGGTCAGCTGCGGCTTGCGTACGTGGCCTCTCAGGCCAACACTGCTGATATCTTCACCAAGGCACTTGCGCCTTGTGATCATCAGCGCTTCTGTACTCAGCTGGGTCTTGTGCCTACCTTGCCTCACTTGCTCACCCCTTGACCTTGTTTGTACTGTTGCATATATATATATACACCTGCTCTTGCTTGTCTAGCCTTATATATATATGTAATCCTGCATGTGAACTGGCCTTGTGGCCTTGAACTTGTGCTCGGAATGTGTGGTGACTTTGTGATCCACCCTGAGCTTGCTTTGCTTTGCTTGACTGGTCTTGTGACCCCTTGTTCTCCCCCACTTTGCCTATGGGGGTGTGTCAGATTTATATGACATAGCTACTGTAGGCTATAGTGGGGTAACACATATGGGGTACAGTTTTCTAGGGTTTACATTTTGTACCCAACTTTCCCTTAGTCATTCCCATTCCTCGTTTCTTCTCAGACAATGCCAGCTGTAAATTGCCTGTTCCTCATTGGCTGCTATTACAGCATTTCTGTTCGAACAGCGCGACAGCGTGCCACGCTGAAATTAATGGGCGCGCTGTAATTCGTTGATTTGACTGGCGCAATTGTGCGCCTGTTTAAAATGCGACACTTCACACTGTACCCGATTGACACACCCAGTATTTGACATTTGGTACGTATTGTTTTTCATTCAGAAACAGGTATATCAGTCTGTGATTGTTTTTGTTTATTGTTGTTGTGCCTAGAATGCCAAAACGACAAATACAGATACACGAACTGACATAGCACGTCTGTCTTTATCATCCTGTGCTCCAACACTCTTCAACATGTATATTTATTATAAACAGAATCAAAAGCAGAATCTGTTTAATAGCCAGCTATCATCCCCTATGAACGGCTGCACTAGATGCACCGCTCTCTTGATGCTTGCTGTCTCTATTACCCGATAACGATCTTCGCTGGCCGCCCACTTCAGCTTCACACACTTCGTTACCGGGTCTAGGGCCCTAGTAGCCTCATAGTATTTTATGAATGCATAGTCTTTCTTGGTCCCATTCTCTACGATTCGAAAGAGAAGTAGTAACTTTGCATACCACTCTGAATCACCCTCCTCTTTCTCATTCCCTAGCACAGCTACATCTGAGAACCATGGCCTTCCATGGAAGGAAGGGAGCGCACGGATGCGATGAGGAAGGCGAGAGAACTCCGCATCTACGGCTGCAGGCATTGCTAGCTCGGTGTGAACCTGGATGTGAGTGATATCCTCGCCGCTACACTTTGGTGCAATGTTCAAGGCACCCCTGAGATATGGCAGCTCTTCCCGTAGAGCTGCGGCATAAGCCTTATCCCTTTTGCCATCTGAAGTTTGTGGTTGTGGCACTTCCGGGGCCTTTGGTACCACCAACTTCCAACTCGTGCGAGACAAGAAGCGCGTGCCTGTTCGTTGGGCCATGAGCATGGCCGTGTCATACCTTTTCCTCTTGCCCAAGAGTGGTGCAAGAGGCTGCAAGCGCAGGCGCTGGACCTCGGAGCTAACAATGCATCCGGGCAAGGAAATGCTCAACGGGCTGAGAAGATGCTCAACGGGCTTACACGTGCACAATGCAGATACCACTCAACATATGCTATCAATGCATCCATTTGTGGCTGCGTGACGAACGTGGTAACAAGGAAAGGGAGTACTTGCATCACACTACGATGCTCGTATGCTTGGTAATTGGCACCTTTAGAGAAGTATGTGCCGGCTGGTAGGCGCATGAACGCACTCCTAGTGATGCTACGTAGATACTTTAGCCTCCTATCCAGCAACTTCCTACGTGCATCGGTCATTTTGGTGTCAGGTGTGTCGCCACCTTGACGAATGCATTCCACTATGTGCTCCAACAACCCCAAATCAGCTTGGTGCATGATGTCGGGCATGACACAAAGGTAAGGGTTGAGGAGGGGTTCAGATTCCCAACGCCATCCCCATAGGCAACACTCGACGGGATGCATTGACAAGTCATCGTGTTGCGTTGCATCATACGCACCACTCTTTATCAATCGGTACAATGACCGATGGACATGGGGTGTCCTATCCACCATGCCACGCTTAAAATGAGCTAACTCATCCCGTTTAGTGAGGCAAATGGAGCATGGTCGAGCTGTGCTTCCCGACTTTGTGCACGTGACCTTGCACGATTCAGGATAGTCACACACATACGCATAAAGAGCAGGCCATGCGTTCAAGGTTTCACCATTGGACCCCTGGATTTTAATACCCGTGTGCGACGCACGCTTGAGTGGGGCTAGCACTTGGTTGAGCACATGTTGGAACACAACAAGCTTATCCAACGAGTCGTATTCTGCTGTAAATTCCGGGAGGAGAGCGAGAAGCACGTGCCCGTGCTTCTTCCACCTCTCTTCCCTTAGAATATTGGCCAGCGTCATGTATAAGGGGTGGCCTTTTGCCTTACCCCGCTGGTCCATGTGCGTCTCATCCGACGCTAGTATTAGAGCAGCGACAAAGCCATCCACCATCTCTTTGCGAATGTTCTCTTGCATTTTTAACCACCAATCTCCCGTTTCTGGATTGGTGTAAACATGCTTCACCCCGGGGTTGCGAGCTGTTGCCTCCTTGACAATCTTACCTTGAAGCTTCGGATGTGTGAGAAGCTCTTTCAGCGCTTGAAGGCCATCACAATAGTGATATTCAAGCCATGACTTTGTCCCAACACGCACTCTGGCCTTCTTCCAGCCCCTCGACGTGTCAGGAACCCTCGACTCAGCATACTTCTCAACATCACGAATGCTTTTCCATTGGGCAATGTCAGACAACCGTGTGCTTGCATGACAAAGGATTGCCAACAAGGTAGCAATCTGGCTTTGTGACAGATTCTCCATCAACAACCAGTGTGCAAGGGCATCCATGAAGTTGAATGGACGTTCCTCGACATCATCAGACCCGGGAATCCCGAGGCCTTCCGTCTCAGCAGGTGCTGCCCCCCCAGATGTACCCTCACCCCCCCCCCCCCCCCCCCAACCTCATCCGGCATGTTTATAGCAACAGGTACATCACAAGGCATGCAATCCTCATCATCATCACTATCTGAGCTACTGCCACTGTCACTATCTACATCCGAAACAAAATCTGGTGGCACCATGCTATCCTGCAAAGTTTCAGCAGCATCACCCACAACAGGAGGGTCATCTAACTCCACGGGCGTAAGGTTGAATGATGGGATGTGCGCCGCTGGCGCTCGGTGTTGTCGCGGTAGAAGGTACGGATTGCTACCACTCGTAGATGCAACCGCAGGCAGTCTCACGGCCCTGCACGCCTGGCTTCGCTGGTGTGACGCAAGAGCCTGTGCCGTGTCAAAATATGCCTGTGCTGGGCATTTGCTACACGTGTATGCCATCTGCAAACAAGACAGTGAACCACGTGCGATGGATAATGGAACAGATGCAGAGAGGAAGAGGCAGTGAGAGGATAGGAGGGAGGGGGAGGAGGTGAGGGAGGCAGAGAGGAAGAGGCAGTGAGAGGAGAGGAGGGAGGGGGAGGAGGAGAGGGAGGGAGAGAGAGGGAGAGCCCGGGAGAGGAGAGGAGGGGGAAGGTGGGGCAGAGAGGAAGAGGGCGGAGAGGAAGAGAGTGGAGAGGAGGAGAGCGGAGGGGAGGGAGGAGGAGGGGATAGGAGGGAGGAGGGGGTGAACGAGTGGGACAGAGAGGAAGAGCCCGGAAGAGGAGAGGACTCGGGGAGCGACGAGAGAGGGGGCAGTGTGAGGGAGGGAGAGAGGGGGCAGTGTGAGGGAGGGAGAGACGGAGAGAGAGAATGCTACGGTGGGAGAGCGAGGGAGGGACGGAGAGAGAGAATTGGACGGTGTGAGAGCGAGGGAGGGACAGAGAGAGAGAATTGGACGGTGTGAGAGCGAGGGAGGGACAGAGAGAGAGAACTCGACGGTGTGAGAGCGAGGGAGGGACAGAGAGAGAGAATTCGACGGTGGGAGAGCAAGGGAGGGACAGAGAGAGCGAATTCGTCGGTGAATGCGACGGTGAGAGAGCACGGGAGCGACGGCGAGAGAGAATGCGACGGTGGGAGAGCGGACGGGAGGGAAGGAGCGAGCGAATGAGGTACGGACAGCGCACGGGAGGGACGGAGATAACGAACGTAAGGGAGAGCGGACGGGAGGGACGGAGCGCGCGATTGCGGAAGGGAGAGCACACGGAATGGACGGAGAGAGCGAATGCGAGAGGTAGAGCGGACGGGAGGGACGGAGCGCGCGAATGCGGAAAGGTAGAGCGCACGGAGAGACGGAGAGACCGAATGCGAGAGGTAGAGCGGACGGGAGGGACGGAGCGCGCGAATGCGGAAGGTAGAGCGCACGGAGAGACGGAGAGACCGAATGCGAGAGGTAGAGCGGACGGGAGGGACGGAGCGCGCGAATGCGGAAAGGTAGAGCGCACGGAATGGACGGAGAGAGCGGATGCGAGAGGTAGAGCGGACGGGAGGGAGAGAATGCGACCGTGGGAACGCACGGGAGGGACGGAGAGAGAGAATGCGACCGTGGGAACGCACGGGAGGGACGGTGCGCGAGAATGCGACGGTGGCAGAGCAACGGACGGACGGAGCGTGTGAATGCGACCGTGGGAACGCACGGGAGCGACGGAGAGAGAGAATGCGATCGTGATAGAGCGGACGGGAGTGGCGTAGTGCGTGAAGGCGACCGGCGTATGCGGACGGGAGGGACGGAGCGCGTGAATGCGATAGGGAGGGCGGACGGGAGGGACGGAGCGCGGAAATACGAAACGGATAGCGAAAGAGGTTGACAGATCGTAAGAATGCAAAACGGAGAGCGGACGGGAGGGACGGAGCGCGCAAACGCGTAAGAGAGAGATCACGGGATGGACAGAGCGCGCTAATGCGACCGGGGGTGAGCACGGTAGCGACTGAGATGGCGAATGCGAACGAGAGAGCAAACGGCTGAGACGGAGAGAGCGAATACGACCGAGCGAGAGCACCGTAAGCGAGCGAGAAAGATCACGGCAGCGACGGAGAGAGTAAATGCAAAAGGGAGGGATCACGGGAGAAACGGTACGCGCAAATGCGACTGTGAGTGAACAGGGGCCTACACGGAGAGAGCGAACGCGAAAGGGAGAGAGCACGGGAGCGACGAAGCGCGCGCATGCGACCGGGGGAGTACACGGGAGAGTCTGAGGTGGCGATTGCGAACGGGGTAGCACACGGTAGAGACGGAGAGAGCGAATGCGCCGAGAGAGAGCACGGGTGCGCCGGAGAGGGAGATTGCGAAAGAGGAAGAGAGCAAGAGAGACGGATAGATCGAATGCGAACGAGAGAGAGCGCAACATAGACGGAGAGAGTGAATGCGAGGGAGAGGGAGAACGGGACCACGAGGGAGCGCGAATGCGACAGAGAGAGAATGGGACCGAGGGAGAGCGTGAATGCGAGGGGGAGATACAGACGGCGGGAGCTAGTGATCGCGAGCATGCGATAACAAGAAGACGGGAACGACAGCGCTCCCGAAAGCAAGGGGTAGAGAGAGAACATGACCGGGGGCGCGCGCGATGATGTTAAGATGAGCTCACCTTATTTGAGCTAAGCAAGGTGTAAGCGCTTGAAAAACTACCGCCACCAACGTGTCCCCTTGAAACCCGGTTCGTACCCACCTCCCCGCGAGCAAGGCCGTAGAGCCACTATCAGAACAGCAGTGCTCATGCAAAAGCGTAGGTGATAAGCGGAACGGAATGCCAACTATCGGCAGCAGAAAGTCGAGAATGGCCAGCAAGAGATTCTGAAATGACGAGCGATCTAACGAGTGAGTGATGGATGTGGGACTCCTGAGAGAGAACCACAAATGGTCGGAATGCTTCGAGGGGCGAAAATTGCGAGAGGGAACGGTCGGAATGCTCCGAGGGGCGAAAATTGCGAGAGGGGTGTCTACCGGTAACAAACAACTCGCGAGTCGCAACGCATGCCTGAAATCTCTCGTCACCACGCGGCAAAAAGCCTGAATGAAAAAAGCAAAAACCGCTGGCATTGCAATTCGCGTAAGAAACAGACGGGCCGCGAATTGCTTCCTTCCCAACTCCCGCAATTTTCGGCGCGAATGAAAAAAACGGACATGTGTCCAACAACCAGCTATAGAGTGTCACGCCTAAATATATAAAGCAAACTCATTTATAATTAAGTGTTCTATATCTAAAAAGACATCATATTAGTCAACTGTACCCACAATTTAACATATATGAATTCTATACGAAATGAGAAAACACACCGGTCGAAACGATTGAGATAAATTGCATATATTCACTCCATAAAAATAATCCGACCTCATGTTGACAACCAGTGAGCTTGAAATACACACATTTCGAGATACACAGCAACACGCAACATGGAAAGTTGAAACGCGTCATAGCTAAATCGGAAAAACAACACAGGCCGCGCGTGCACCAAGCCAAGCCGTAGATGACAACATTCCGTCAGCAAAGGTTTCGGGAACAGTAGCGACAATCCTCCCCACACATACTCAACCGTATAGAGCCACCAACTCAGCATTCACACCAACTTCCAACCACTAACACTCCCTTACGTCCGACCGCCAAACCTAAACCGTTCATCGTCATTGATGACGATGAGAACGGGCACGAACTTCACCCCCGACTGGATTCGACAATCCCACTTTTTTCCGATGCATGGTGATGGCCTGGATCTGATCCGATTCGATCTTATTCGGAGAGTGTACAATCGGCGCCCGTTCCGCTCAGATAGTAGTGAAACCGCCCGTTCTACTCCTACGATGTTGAGAGAGCGGGAGAGTCTGAAGGTTGACTGCGTTCGGGTCTGGTTCACTTAACTCCAGCCGACTTTGCGCCCGTATTTCTCTGTCTCGGTTTCCTTGCGACTAAGAGAGATCGTCAAATCGTCGTTCCTCTCGAGCGTCCTCTCCCCTGTAAACCTCGAACTCGTCTTTCGTGGGATACATAAGCACGCTGCTCTGAAAAGTGACCTGATGAGAGGCTGCCACGGCTGATGAAGGACGGGGAGAGCAGGAAGGCCAGGCGGGATTGATGCATGGTCTGTGCTCTCTGAGAGACAACGACGCACGCAGTTACGCTGCCCGCCACGTCCCAGGACAACATGAGAGAAGGCGACGAGACGAGGGAGGGGAAGGAAAGGCGTGTGCTGCGTTGGAACAGGCAGGCAAGGGGGCTTTTTGCTGTTGTTGATAACTGTTCTGGAGCCTGGACTCAAACCAAACTCGTGTTGATTACTGTTCTGCAGGCTTCGAGCTTTGACGCACATTCAGCACGATTGCCCGAGCCAGTGGGAGGAGGACCCGACCCAACCCAACCCAGCCCCACCTGCTGATTGCCGAACAGCAGAAGAATCACCTGAACAAGCTGAGCTGTGCAGGTAGTGCATAACTTATCTGGAGTCTGGTTTGGGTTTCCCCACTTTCAAATGACTTCGCCTATTTTCGGCGGCAAAAAACTGTACTTTTAGTGAGTTTCGCGACGAAATGAATGCGAAGGGAGTGTTTCATATTTTTTTTTTTCTGCTCAAATCTTTCTGGACGTGGATTTGGAATTGCTTGTGTGCAGCAATTGGCTGTCCCCGTCAAGCAAATCAGCAAGTACTCGTCGTCGTCGTTACCTCAATATCGAACCTGAGCAGTTCGCGTCGCGTACATTTCCAGGTTTCATCCGCTGTACATTGGACTAGGTTAGACAGCTGGGAAACCCCCTGGAGTGGAGAGGCTGAGCTGGAGGCAGCACAACCTCGGTCCAAGCATATCGAGTCGCGTGCTGACGTGTTTGTGAGTGGAATGCGCAATTGTTCAGCATCAACAAGCGTGTGGCACCGCATATTCCGGCACCTACTAATATCCAATAGAGTTGCGAGACTACACTTTGCCATTCCACTAAGGCTGCACCTTACGCAAAGATACCTTCAGATTACCAGAACTGAAGACATACGGTATCTGAATATTGAGAACTATTCGAGTCAAATATCCACAAACTATTGTTGCAGACTACGGAATCCAGCTAAAAACATGTACTCTATAGCATTGTAGGCGGCCACCCACGCTTTCTCCACGTCTCCTCCCCACTCCTCACCCAAGGCATTTGAAACCACTGTCACAAACGCGGACCTTAGCTTCTGCAGACGGATAGCATGAGGGGAGGGGGTGAGGGAAAAAACGAGGGACAGAACGAGCAGAAAGAATAGTACTAGTGTAAAGGACCGAAGCGTGGAGGGGTTTTATACAGGCAATACCATTTACAAAACAGGGTGTGGGTTGAAACCAGGGGCTTCTTAATTTCTGTGATGCGCAATTGTTTGAAACAACTTCATACCGGGGCATGTTCGCTTGTGACACCAAATAGTAAGTGTCGGGAACCGAGGTCTGCTAAGGACGTCTTTAAAGCCCGAACCTCCTTCTCTTGGTCCAGCTTCACTGCTGCTGAACACACCTGGCAGGAGGGAGGGTGGGTGGAGGCGAAGCAGCAAACGTGGCACTGCATGGTGAAGCTGGGAAACCCCTAGAATTGCATGATTCTGTTCAACCCTACTGCTCCGCCATGTGATAAAAAGGGTTTTGAGGCGTCTCAAAACTACTGCTCTGCCATGCAGCTGTTGTACTGCTCCGAAAGTCAGCTTACTTTCGGGGGTTCAGGATTGAATGTCAGGCGTTAGGGTGGAGAAGGAAATTGTTCTAAAGACAAGTGATATGGTAAGAGGTGCTGCTAGATTCACTGACAGTGCACGCACACATCAAATGCTTGATTGTGCGAAGGTGGGCCGGGGATGAGTGGTGGAAAATTTGTTCCACACGAATAGCTGTTGTGGGAATCACTCGGAGCAACATGCACCATGCGCCATGCGCCATGCACCATGCACCATGCGTCATGCACCATGCACCATGCACCATGCACCATGCAGCATGCACCATGCAGCATGCGCCATGCACCATGCACCATGGACCATGCAGCATGCACCATGCGCCATGCAGCATGCGCCATGCAGCATGCGCCATGCAGCATGCAGCATGCAGCATGCAGCATGCAGCATGCAGCATCCACCATGCACCATGCACCATGCAGCATGCAGCATGCGCCATCCACCACCAACTCACCATGGCCATGGCTGTGGTGGCATGTGCCCGCAGCAGCTTGTTCTCACGGTGCGGCTCCTTGGCTCGGCGAGTCATGGAGAACATCTGAGCCGCCTCGGGTATCAGCTCTAGCAACCTGCAGCCGAGCAGAGTGGGGGGGAAATGGAAGCGGGATGAGGCATAGGTGCATGTGAGAGTCATGGAGAACATCTAGCAACCTGCCAGTGATGCAGAAAGGATGAAAGGGGGGGAGAGCGGAGAAGGGGCGAGGGGGTAATGCAGATTTGGGAGGGGGATGAGGTGACAGGGGTGTCCGGGTAGTGTCAATGGGTAGTGTCAATGGGAACACCTAAGCTGTCTCGAAAATTGGTTCAGTCTTGCGGTGATGCAGGGAGGATGACAGGGAGGATAGAAGGTAGGGCGGAACGACAAAAGAGGAGTGGGAGAGGGATGGGGTGGCAGCGGTGCATGGGTAGGAGAGTCACGGCATGGGGAACGTTCACATGAATGTTCCTGAGGCCAGCAGCCTCGGTTTTTGAGTTGACTTATAAACAGGGGTGCATGGGTAGGAGAGAGAGTCATGGCATGGGGAACGTTCACATGAACGAGGCCAGCAGGCTGCAGGCCTGACTGGAAAGAGCTCCAGCAGCCTGACCCCACAGGCTTTTGAGAGGGTTCGTTGTTCGCTTCCTTTCATTCCTTTATGCAACTTTGTGCATGAGTCATGCGCAAAGGCGAAATTAATGGAAGCGAACCACGGTGCCGGCCGGACAGACGCAATATAGGCGGTAGAGGTGACGGCGGGGGGGGGGACAGTGGGGGGTGCGGGGGACGAGGGGGAAAGAGGGGAGATGACAAGGCGGGAAGTGGATGGAAGCGAACCTTGGTGCAGGCCGGATCGACGAAATGTAGACGCAGGGAAGATGGGGGAAGTAGGGGTAGGCAGGAAGGAGGACGGACGAGACGCAGGGAAGAGGGGGGAGGGGGGTGGGAAAAGGGGCGGGGGGGGGTTTGGGAAGAGGGGAGGGGGAGGGAAGGGGAAGGGGGGAGGGGAAGTGGGGAGTTGAAGGGGGGACGAATGGAAAGGGTTGAGGGATGATAGACGAGGGGGAGGGTGGGTGAAAATGTTTATCGCTGAAGTCAGAAGCAACTCCTTGGTGATTTTTGAGGCGTCATAAGAACCAATATCTTGTTTTTTATCACCTGTAATGTGGCAAATGTAGGAATGATTTTGTGACCATGGCAAAAAAACGGCCGCGCCGCGCGGCGCTCGTCTAGGATTACTTGATGTAAAGCTCGAGGGCGTGTTTAGGCACATCGGGTTGAATCTTGGACGCGAACGTCGCTCGTATCAAGTCCACCTGCTCCTTTGGCAGTTTCAGCGGCGGCGCCTCGATCTTGCCGGCCGCCATCTCGCGGCGCGAGCCGCTGCTGATCCTCCTCTACCTCCCCTCTTCCACAAAAAAGCCGTTGCGGCTCTTGGGTTTGCTCCTTTGACTGCTGACCCATCGCTCTTTCTGCGCAGTTCTACATCCTCGTTTACGTCAACGACATGGTATTTGCTACTGCTGACACTGAGGCACCGACCCTTGTGAAGGCAGAGCTACAGAAGAGACACACCTGCACTGACTTGGGTGAACTACGTAGCTATCTTGGCTTGCAGATCACCCGGGACAGAGCAGCACGCACCATCACTCTGACTTAGTCACACATGGTGCAGCAGGTGCTTCAGCGGTTCCGCTTTCAGTTCTCCTCGCCACAGCCCACTCCTCTGCCTACGAGCCACTCGCTCTCAGCTCCACCTTTGGACGAGTCCGTAGAGCCGAGTGGTCCATATCCAGAGCTTGTAGGCTGCCTCATGTACCTGATGATGTGCACTCGACCTGACATCGCGTACCCTATCAGCATCCTGGTGTGCTACGTTGCGCCCGGGAGACACCGCCCTGAGCACTACAGGGCTGCACAGAGGGTATTGCGTTTCTTGTGGAGTACATCAGGCATGGGGGTTGTGCTTGGAGGACAGGGTCGAGTTCTGCTCACTGGGCACAAATACGCCTCTAGGGCCGACGACCAGGAGACCCAGCGGTCGTCACATGGTTACACTTTCATTCTAGGTGCTACTTTTGTCTCATGGAGGTCCAACCGCTTGTCTTCTGTAATTATTTCCAGTTGTGAGGCCGAGATCTACGCTTGGGCTATGGATGCGCAGGAGCTTCGCTGGCTGACCTACTAGCTGACTGACTTGGGTGAGCGGCCTCGTTCTCCTCCAACTCTGTACGTCGACAACAAGGCCATGATTGCCTTGTGTTGGGAGCAGAGACTGGAGCACATAACGAATCACATTTCTCTTCGTTACTTTCTTGCACGAGAGTTACAGCAGCGTGGTTAACTTCGCCTTGCTTACGTGGCCTCACAGGCCAACACTGCTGATATCTTCACCAAGGCCCTAGGGTCTGGTGATCATCAGCGTTTCTGCACTGCTCTTGGGCTTGTGCCCACTCTGCCTCTCCTGCTTGTCTCTTGATCTCACCTTGCACTTATTGTACACTGCTAAATATATTTGTACCTTCATGTTTACACTTGCTAGGTTGTGCTCAGTGTAGTGCTTTTGTTATTATAACTATGCAAGTGAGCTGGCCTTGTGGCCAGTTGCTTGTTCTCGGACTGTGTGGTGATCTTGAGATCCACCCTGAGCTTTTCTTTGCTTCTTCGCTTGACTGGTCTTGCGACCGTCTTGTTGTCCCCCACTTAGCTTATGGGGGTGTGACAAATTACAAATGTTGTTGTTAGGCTGTAGTGGGGTATACAATAGGGGGCACAACCCGTTTTGGGTTCCTACTTCTATTCCTCATTCTGCTCAATGCAATAATTCCGCTGCTTTAGTTTCTAAGACAAGTAGTATGGTGTGTCGGGGGAACATAAATAGTGCGAGGGATATACCGTATCGATACAGCTTCCGTGATGGTGTCGTGGATATTCGTCCTCTTGTAAGTAATCCATGCCTAGGGCCAATTTCGTTTTGTATTCTTAAGCAGCAGAATGCAAGGTACAAGCACTAGTATGTAGTACATTGTAGTTACTGACACATGTGCACTGATCTATCCCACATTACACTCCTCAGATTCCACTTGGCAATCGTCGTGTCCTTCTCTTTCCGAATGAGACGCACAAGAACTATTTTCTTTGTGACTTCCTGCACTTCAATCAAATCAGGCATTTCCTTCAAAAGCAGCACAAGCCCCTTCTTTGCATGAGCGCTTCTTGCAGACTTTGGGAAGCCAGGGTTGAGATATGCGCAGACAGTTTGGAATCAGAGAAAAAAAAGGTGGAGTGGCTGGAAGGATAAACAAAATAGATACAGTTACAACACTTACTTCACCTCAGTGCTTTCTCGTGTAGAGTTTAGAAGGCATGCAATTTCCCTGAGCAAGAGTCGTTCAGCGTCTTTCTTTATGGTGTCATCTGCCATGTTTTTTCCCGGCGGAACTACCACGAGCTCATGAAGATTCTCGTAGTCCCAGAAGACACCAACAGGAGCTATATCCGTTGCCGGAGAACTCTAGGTAGAGCTCAGCTTCTTGAACGTGCTCTGAAGATCACTTGAGGCGGTAGCATGTTGTCCTTGAGCTTTCCTGCATTTAATGGATCTGGCAGACTTACTCCTCAACATGCCACCACGTTCTTAAGTCAACAACCGAGTGAGTTTTGGGAGTGAAAAAATGTTCAGTTTGGTCAGCTTCAAAGCTGAAAAGGCGGGACTGTACAAAGCGCGTGGGTCCATGGTGGTGGTTGCCAAAAACTCCAGAGAAACGAAACCATATGAACTCTCACGAGCTGCGACCTAAGGATGCTCGCTTATACTGGCTTTATTGTACGGTGTGAATCCCGTTCTAGAGTGCTCGAGTAAGCCACCTACGAGTCGCTATTCATGTGAAGGGAAACCCATCAAGTGCCGCTTGCATGAACGAGAGTGCAGTTTCAGCGGCGGCGCCTCGATCTTGCCGGCCGCCATCTCGCGGCGCGAGCCGCTGCTGATCCTCCTCTACCTCCCCTCTTCCACAAAAAAGCCGCTGCTGCGTGCTTATAGCGCGAATGCTACTAACGAACGCGAATGCGCGGATTCTACGACGGCGTCGAAACTCAACCACCACCGCTAGTTACCCTTCCCTTCCACGGTCCTTCCGCTTGCTTCTTCCGAAGTTTGCTTTGAGGACAGAATGCGGGTAGAGTCGTGTCGCTACAGACGCACTGCTTTCTCGTGCGAGGATGGCGGAGGAGACGGAATTGATCCTGTTGCGAGTACAGGTCGTAATGGATGGAAACTCCCAAAAGCATCTTTTGAGGAATGACGAGACACAGAAAATTGCCCTTTGGTGACGCGAAAAAGCAGGTGGGTCGACTCAAAAGTACCCAAATATCGCGGAATGAGAGGAAGGACTAGCCGCGTCGCGTCCGTTACAGTGATACATGCTGATTGGTGGAAACAGCACTCTTAGTGTGGTGGGTGGTGTGGTGAGGGGCATGGTAGGTGAGTGGGCTGGTGAGATGATGTGATTTGGTGGTGGGGTCAGTCGGTACTGTACCGGGCTGTAGGGGAGGGTTCCAGATCAAGGCTTATTTTTTTGGGCAGCTTTCACTGAAGTCTAATTAATGCGGCTCGGAACAAACCAGACCCAAGCTCGCCCGCTGAGATTGGCTGATGATACCTAAATTTCCATTTCAAACCAGCTTATGCCGTAAATAAACCTCCCACAAAAACGGAATATAGGCTAAGGGCCCTATCTCAGGTTAGAGCTGGGCACTAGAACCAATAATACCACAAGGGTTCCAGAACTGAATTTTGGAGGTTAATTAAAGAAAATTCCTGTGCTCCCAGAGCGAGACGCAAGCTGCCATTGGCCAACGCCTCTCTCCTCCTCGTCCTCTTGGTCCCGATACACATTCCTCTGTGTGTGCACATAACCTGCTGTCAAAATGTTGTGAACAGTGGCCTGCACATTGCCGAAAGAGAAAAAGGGAAAGAGAAAAGGGGGATCATGAGATGGAAGGCAGCAATACCAGCGAGCAGCATAAGGAATGGCGCCGCTTGGAAGGACAGCTTGCCACAGGTACAAGTGGTCAAGACAAGAAGAAGGCAAGGCAAGAAGAAGGCAAGGCAAGAAGAAGGGAAAGGGTGTAAACAATAGCTGGCTCCTGGAAATAGCACATTATGGGGTTGCAGACACACATACAGTTATACAGTCACTCACATGCTTTCTGCATCGAAGGACGGACGCATGCACGGCATCCGAGTGACTGACCACGATGATGTTCTCATCCTGCCACTGCCACTCTCTTACACTGCTAATCTGTCACTCACATGCTTCCTGCATCGAAGGATGGACGCGTGCACGGCATCGGAGTGACTGACGACTATGATGTTCTCATCCTGCCACTGCAGCGCATAGCAGCAAGGGAGCACAACAGGGAGAGAGCACAGCAGGGAGGGAGCACAATCGAGGTGATCAGGTTCGAGACGTCTCAAAACGCGCGCACAGCATCCGAGTGACTGACGACTATGATATTCTCATCCTGCCACTGCAGGGCATGGCATGGCACAAGGAGGAAGGGAGCACAGCAGAGGGTGCGTACAGAAAGGAGGGAGTGCAACAGAAGGTATGTAAAGTTGACATGGAACAGATGAGTCACCCATCTTCCCTCCTCCCTGCACCAAGAAAGACACTTGTCGTCATAGAACCGAATACACAGCAATCGGACAAGGAGGGTTTCAGAGAGACTATTCTTGAGTCGTCTAAAAAAAAGACTAATCGGAGGGTTTCAAGTGATTCAGCTCGCCATTACCCCCTTCCCGCCTTACGTGCCGCTGATGGTGGTGACAAAGCAAACCATATCCACACATGCAGAGAATAAACCCCCCGGGTGGATTCCAGAAACTAGATTTTAATGTGTGCACTCCCACTATCCCACCTGCGCCGCCTGTCCGCACTCCCAATATCCCACCTGCCGTCCCTTTCTTGTATGCTTCAAGCCTTCCACAAACCTACCGGCCACCTCCCTGCCCCACTTTGTTCCCCTCCCACTTTGCCCCGCCCCCCTCCCCCCTCCTTTTGCCCACCTGTCCCCTCCCTCTGCCCACCTGCTCTGCCACGTGGTCAATTGACCGCAGCAGCCGCAACGCTGCCTCCTCCACGTCCTCAGGCCAGCCTGGCAGTGCCACGTCAGCAGCAGCAGCTGCCGACCCAGCGACAACTGGCAGAATCCTGTCCACTGCGCCCGGCGGGAACATGCCTTCCAGCCAATCGCGAGGTGCCAGCGAGGCAGCAGAATTGCTATTACCAGAGTTGCCAGCTACAGTACATGATCCCTGATTCTGTCCCTGCCCCTGCCCTTGCCACCGCTCCTGCCCCTGACCCTGCCCGTGAACCTGCCCTTCACACTGTTCCGGTCCCGGTAATGCTGACTGCACTCGCCACATGCCTTGCCCCACTCCCTCCCTCATCTGCCCACCCATTGCAAACAGCTCCACTGCTGCTGCAGCTGCTGCTGGCGCTGCTGCTGCTGTTGCCGCACCCTCTGCCCCTCCCTCCCCCTGCCGGACCACCTCATGCAGCCCGTAGTGAACTGCTACTCTCACCTCCCCCCCCACGCCTCCCGCGCCCTGCCATGCCCCGTCCCACATGCCGAACTTGCGCTTGCGGTCCGGGGGGAGGGCCAGGCTCGGCTGAGGCGTGAGGGATGATTGCTGCGGGAAGTGTAAAGGGGGGAGGGTATTGGAAGGCAACGGAGAAGAGGGTAAAGGGAAGGCGGGGGTTGGGGGAGGGTAACGGAAGGTGGGAGGGAGAGGGGTATGTGAAGGCAGCGAGGAAAGGAGGAGAAGAAAGGGAAGAGGGAGGGGAGAAGAGATGGGAGGAATGCTGAGCAAACAATGTGGGTTGGTAGGGGCTGGGCTATGCACCCTGCTTCACTTTTGAGAATTCTCAAAAGGTTGGTTTGACTTCTGAGAATTCTCAAAAGGTTGGTTTGACTTTTGAGAATTTTCAAAAGGTTGGTTTGACTTTTGAGAATTCTCAAAAGGTTGGTTTGACTTTTGAGAATTCTCACAAGGTTGGTTTGGGGGCTGGGCTATGCACCCTGCTTCACGTGAGGAAAAGGGGAAGGGGGTATTGGGGAGGTAGAGGGGGCAAGGGGGAAAGAGGGGTTGGAGAGGCGAAGAGAGTAGGGGAAGGGAGCGAGTCGGGACAGGGAGAGCAAGAGGTACCTGTCGGCGTCGCATGAGGTGCTGGTGGCGTGCAGATGCACACCTAGATACACTGCTACCAGCACCACCACTGGCAGCACCACTACCACCACTGGCACCACTGGCAGCACTGCCAGCCGCAGCAGCAGCAGCAGCAGCAGCAGCAGCAGTAGCAGTAGCAGCAGGGCGACCACCGAGTTTGCTGCGGCGGAAGCGCGAGGAGAAGAAGGAGGAGAGGAAGCTACTACCCCCCGGTACCATGCTGCTGCTGGTGCCAAAGCTGCCACCAGTGCTGCCACCAGCACCACCAGCAGAATCAGCAGCATCAGCAGCACCAGCAGCAGGGCCAGCAGCGGCGGGAGCACCAGCAGGAGCAGCAGCAGTGGGCGCAGAGGAGGAGGGAGGAGGAAGGGGTTGTGCGTCAGTGAGAGCGAGCAGCAGCTCGAGGGCGGTTTCCAGGCAGCGGAGGTACGGCGCACACACGATGCGCGTGACTCCCCACCCCTCCTGCCTCAGCCTCATGCCCACCTGAAGGAATGTGACGGGGGATACAGGGACATGGGGATACAGGGACATGGGGATACAGGGACATGGGGATACAGGGACATGGGGATACAGGGACATGGGTATATGGGGATGTGGAGAAATGGGGGCACATGTCTCAGCAGACGGATGGCAGCCAGCAGCAGCAGCTGCAGCAGCAGCAGAGACAGTGGGAGGAAGGGGGTGGTGAGGGTGGAAGAGGGTGGGTGTGAGTGAGCGCGAGCAGCAGCTCGAGGGCGCGCACACACTATGCGCGTGACCCCCCACCCTTCCTGCCTCAACAGCATACCCACCCGGGGGTGTGATGGGGAGATATGGGGACATGGGGAAACGGGGATATGGGGACACGGGGATATGGAGACACGGGGATATGGGGATACATGTGTGAGCAAACGGACTACAACCATCAGCAGAAGCAGGAGCAGAGGCAGTGGGAGGAAGGGGGTGGGTGTCTGTCAGTGAGGGCATGAAACTCGACGGCGGCCTCCACACAACGCAGGTACAGCGCACATGGGGATACAGGGGAAGCTGAACCACGAGTGAGGTGGGATATATGCGTCACACCCCACCCCCGCAATCTCCCTTCGCGCCCACTTCAATCCTCCCCACCCCACTCCTCCCCTTCCCCCTAAACTCCCCCCCCCCCCCTTCACACCCCCCCGCGCTCACCTCATAAGCCTGGTATTTCCCCCATTCCGACAGGGGCGGGTCCCACGCGCGCTCCGCGCCCTCTCTCCGCGCCCACAGGGGGTCGGCGGCGTCCGCGCGCTCCCCGTGGTGCATCACGAACACGTGCTGGCGGCGCTGCATTATCCCCGACTGGAACCCGCACAGGCGCGAAATCAACCGCCCCAGAGGCGGGTTCATGCGCCGGCAGTCCACCTGCCGCGGCGGCGGAAGCGGAAGCGTAGGCGGAAGCGGAGCGGGAAGCGGAGGCCGTGGGGGAGGAGGAGCCCCCGCCGCGGGGAAGAAGCACGAGCCCGCGCACGACGGCGCGGGGAACGGAGACGCGGGGGAGCTCGCGGGGAAGGTTGCGCTGACAGAGGCGGAAGAGTGGTAGGGGGAGCCGAACGGCGCGGCGGAGAAGGCGTCCGCGGACATGGGTTCCGCGGAACCCGGGGAAATCCCGCGCGGCGGGGAGCGCGGGGGGGAGCGCGAGGGGGAGTGCGGGGAGGAGATGAGGGAGTATGCGGGGAGGGTTAGGTCCCGGAAGGGGAGCGGGTTGAAAGTGGTTGCTGGAGGGTGAAAGGAAAGGGATTTGGTTCGGATTAGCTTGGTGGGAGAGTAACAATCCATGGCTGCCGATTGCGCCGCGGAAGAAGCTTCGGTGGCCTTGAAAGTGAATATATTTTGCTGCTGCTGCTCCGGAAACTGCTGCGGCTGCTGCGAAAATTGCTGCTGCTGCTGAAACAGTTGTGGATGCAATGAGTGTGTCTGTACTTGTTGCTGCAATGCACCCCCGCCCGCCTCTCCCGCCGCGTTACCCGCTGAGTCTAGTCTTGCGGGAAGCACCATCTGCGGAAGCAGCGTCTGATGCGGCTGCGCCTGCGGCGGCCACAGCAACTGCTGCTGCTGCTGCTGCTGCTGCTGCTGCTGCTGCTGTCGCTGACGATTGCCCCCGCCACTGTTACCCTTTTCGCCAACGGTTTCGTCGACGTCGCCGTCCATCATAGCGACAGCTTCGTCTTCATCGCAATCATCGACCGCTCCCAACGCATACGGGCCCCACTCGCTGTTCGCGCCGGCTCGCCGACTGGAAAGGCCTCTGTGAAGCACTAAATCGACCAGCTTCGCCATTACTATTTGCAAACTATTTGCAGACTGTTTGCTCAAACTACTTGCAAGGAGGCTAGGTTATTATTCCGCTAGAAAAGGATAACGGTGGAGACTATGAAAAGGCTAAATTGCGGCTTAGACGATTCCGGATAACAGTGAGCCTCTGCGACGCACTAAAGCCGCTCGCTTCGCCATGACGACTCGCTTAGAGTTCGACAGAATCAGCAGCCGCGTCGACTGCTTTAGTATGTACACCTCTTCGAGTCGCGAGGACGCTGTTTGAATACACGAGACCAGTTCAGAGTCGTATCGATGTACGAGATAGCGAAATAATTTAGCAGAAAGGGAACTTCTTTATTAGCTGAAGCGAGAAGTTACGTAGCTTATTGCCCCCCCTATGAGCCGTGCGAGCCAGTCCCCTAGGCAAGTGTGCGCATTATGAGTCAACCCTAAATGAGTCGATTCTGAAGAATGCCTCTGCAGCCCAGTCGTTCCGTCTCTATGACTGAAGGCGCGTCTCGAATTGGGAAAATTGTATGAGATTGCCAGCCCGGAACGGAGACGGAGTTGGCATCTCGCTGAGATAGCGCGTGGGTGGATTCTCGAGAACAGAGGTCAGAAAGCCACGACCAAGCAATGTCGGCCTCGGTTGAGTTCTTGAGATAACGAGTTGAGCAAGTGAAACGACGATGGCCTTACGTTAGAACACGGTCAGTTCAGGGGATAAAGCGACGGCTGCTTCCATCTTTCCCGCAAGCGCTCCGAATGTTTTGGTTCCAGTCGGACGGACCTTCGAAGGCCGAAAAACTCGTTGACGATAGAAGCATGACCGATGATAACGCCGGTTCTAACCTGATGACCGCAGACAGCAGTGAGGGAGAAAGTCTATGTAGCAGCTATGGCAGACAAGTGAACTGCCAAAAGCTTTTCCCGAAAATGAAGTTTCAAACGCTTGGATGCGGTGCAGTACGCATATTTGTGGTACAGATATACCATGGCATGGAGGTTGGGGGAATGAGCTCTCTCCTTAGGATGTTTCCAACATGAACTCCGTAAGCGTGTGTCTACTGTTACAATGTCACTTTCGCGCTTTATATTTTTGAACCATGACGACACAATTCCGGCCCTCGCAGTGGGAAGAATGCGACCTCGTGTCAGTTTCCTGGAACTTCGGCTCGGGGAGGGACCATGGGCGACGAAACGGGTTGCGTTGCGTGCGGTTTGGTTTGGGAAAAGGGTGGCACACTTGAGGGTCCAGCCATACCCCACATGCTTGTCGTGATCTTGACATGTTCAGTTTGTCCTCGTCATGGGTTTGTGCTGTGATCCGACGTTCATCGGCAGGCGACTCTTTCTCACACCATAACTCCTAGTTAAACCAGTCACCTCTTTGCACCTCTAAGGAAAATTCCTTCTCCTTACTTCGCGTCCCTGCTCAGCGCGTACACCACTGTTTCCCGCCAACAGCACCCAACAATAATCCGTTACCACTCGCGAAATTCGCCTCGACACTATTCCCGCCAATGTTCACGACGCGACCCAACCTCACGGTTCAGTTGGTAACCCGCGCTCCGGACCTCCGCCTCGACAATTCCCAACCTCGGCACTAGGCCCGTCGCGCACCTCATTTTCCACACATTACCGTTACCACTGTAGTTTCGCTATATATTCTTCGCCCATTCCTTCGCTCATTGTACTCTTGCTTCGATAGTGCAATCCTCACTCGCTCACTCCATTGGACTCGTAATACTTGGTATTTAGAGCCTACGAGCTCTTCTCGGACCGCACCCACACCTTCGCTTCCCCACTATCTCGAATTTCGGGGGGGGTAGACGTCTCTCAGCGAACAAGCACCGCCGCTCGAAGTGCTCTCTCGTAAGCACGCACGGCCACAACAGAGGCTCTCGCTGAGCTTGCCCGACACCCCCGCCATGGCTGAAATTAATCTCGCGACACTGACGCAAGCGCAGCTTGACCGTCTCGAGCGCCAACTCGAAGATTCGGCGCTCGAAATCGCTACACTCACGGCGGAACGCGACTCCGCTCACCAGCAATCAACGGTGAATGCACCAGCACCAACCAATGCACCTGCACAATCAGAGGAGCCGATCATCGTCTCATCAGGCACACCGACACAGAACAACAGCGTGGGACAACGCTCAGATGTAGCCAGTGATGGCGCCACTCACTCAATGCCTGTCATGGAGAGAAATAGGGCGGCACCAAGACCGCGGGAGCCTCGCGAGGCCCGTCAGCACGTGGAATTTGCAGCGACAAGTGGCGAGCACCCCATCATGGCACCAATGCTACTCAAGCCGCAGCGCCCGCACTGTTTCGACCCGAGCCAACGTGGAGGTCCGACGGTTCAGTCGTGGGTCTTCACGATGAACGTCTTCTTCGACGCGAATTACGTCGAGTCGGACGCAGCGAAAATTCGCTACGCTATTTCGCTGCTAAGGAGCCCCGCCATGGACTGGTGGCGAGTCATCGTGACATCGCCACGCGCCTATGAGCCACCGTCGCAAGAGGAAGGGCCCACGGGCCCAGCCTTCACCTGGAGTTCATTTTGTGAGACAGCCCAGTACAGCACGTGGGATGCGTGGTGCGCAGGGCTTCGGGCGCGCTTCGAGCCAATCGCGGCTTCTATTTCGACGCGTCAGAGACTGCGTACTTGGCGGCAGCTCGGACCAGTTCAAGACTACACGAGCCGTTTTCTCCCATTCTGCGAGCAAGTCGGCTACATGCACGAAGCGGAGCGAGTGGACCGTTACATCGGAGGGTTGAAGCCGGACATCTCGCACAAAATCATGCTACGCGGTCTCTCGCATTTTAACGAGATCCTCGCGCTTGCCGAGAAAATCGACATTTTGCGCCGTCCGAGACCGGGGTCCTACTACGAATATCGTCCTTGGGGACCGATCGAGCACGCCACCATACATGCCGTTGCGACGAATGCAGCTGCCGCACCGTTTAAGGGGCGTTGCTTTGCTTGCAATCGGCCGGGCCATCGCAAAAGCGAATGCCCAGAGTAGTTGAGCTGCTGCAGAACAGAGCAGGGGAGGGAGTCTCAGAGGCAGGGAAACGCCAGCAGTCAGTAGAAGTTGGGCCAACTACTGACGAGACTACCTGCTCGCCCAACCTCACCGACCTTCACCGAGTCACAGTACCGATTCACGCTATCGATCGGGCTCGGATGAATAAGGATGGTGCAACGACGGATTGCCCAGTACTGATCCATGGGAAAATACAGGAAGCAGCAGTGAAGATTTTTATGGATGGAGGCGCAAGCCGCAACTTAGTTAATACTTAGTCGGTGTTTACCCGAGATCGACGCACGCTTAGTTGACGGAACGCCGCTGGCCATACGGGATAAGGTGGAGAGAGTAAAAGTCCGCTGCGAAGGGAACTTCGGGTTTACACAGGAAATGCTCGCGACGACATTGGATGGGCACGACATTTTACGGAGACGTGATTGGCTGCGATGGTACAATCCGCGAATTGACTGGACGACGGGTAGTTGCACAGTGCGAAGTAGCGGTAACTGGGTTGAACTACCTCGCTGGCAGTCGCCAGAGTCTTCAACGGTCCACTTCAACGCCATCACAATGAAACAGGCTGTCGCCGCTGGAGCTGACGTGTACGCGGTGGATATCGCAGTGGTGGAAGAAGCAGAGCAGCCGAGCGATTTTCAGAAACTGCTGGCAGCAGTACCACCCGAACTACAGGAACTGTTGAAACGGTTTTCCGACGACTTTCCGGAGGGACTGCCACCTCAGAGGGCACACGATCACCGAATAGAACTAGAACCCGGGGCACAGCCAATTGTACAGCGACAGTTCAGACTGACACAACCCGAGCTCGACGAACTAAGGAAGCAGTTAGATTACCTGTTAGAGAAAAAAATCATCCGACTGAGCTCATCGCCGTTCGCCGCACCAATACTGTTCACACCGAAAAAGGACGGAGGTTTTCGCATGTGCATCGATTACAGGGCACTGAACAGGGTTATGTCAGAATATTATGCTCTAGCCTGTAGTGGGGTGCTCTATAGCGAGTACAACCCTTCTAGGGTTTGCTATTTGTATCCTCATTCTTGCTAGTGCAACCCTCCTCTTCTTCCTTTTAAACTTTCATATGCTATCAGAGCAGGTCGATCCCCTTGGATCGATCCTGTGGGTGGGCTCACCACCTCGTTGCTTCCGCTGCAACTTCCACTGCTACCCTCTGTGCCGCACGCCCCGTGGCGTGCGGCAGTTTTTCTTCCCGCCGTGCGCCCCGAGGCACGCGGCGGTTTTCTGCCCGCCGTGCGCCCCGTGGCGCGCGGCGGTTCTCTGCCCGCGGTGCGCCCCGAGGCGCGCGGCGGGCTTCTGCCCCGTCACTCGGCGCGTCGCCCTCGGGAGGCGCTGCGACGGGCGACGGGGACCCGCGCGTCGCCCCCCGTCGCCCGTCGTGGCCTGCACGCGGCCCGTACAGGCTGCGCGCGGCCCGTAAGGGCTGCGCCAGGCCCGGACGCGGCCCGTACGGGCTGCGCCAGGCCAGCGCGCGGCCCGTACGGGCTGCGCCAGGCCCGTGCGCGGCCCGTACGGGCTGCGCCAGGCCCGCGCGCGGCTCGGGCCGCCTGCGCGCGGTTCGGGCGGCTGTGCCAGGCCCGTGGGCGGCCCTTTCCTCGCTGCCCCTGCCCTCCCCGCTGTCCCCCGTGCTTCTACTGGCGCCCCACCCCTCCTACAGCCCGTTCTCCTGAATTAGGGTTTGGGGGTGAGGGGTATGGGGGTGAAGCCACTGTGTGCCGTTCCCTGCTCCTCCTCCTCCTCCGTCTCCCTGTGCTGCAGCTGCCGCTGAGGGGGGGTGGACTTGTTGGAGCCGTTGGAGTGGTACTAAGGGGGGGTGAAGGG